AACTATCTGTACCTGTCTGCAACTATCGGCTATGTAAAACAGTCGGCATAATGTACAATTGGATATCAAAATATTCAATACTTAAACAAATTTGAAGCAAAACAAAAATATTCATTAAAAGGAAGCCGGTCATTAAAGACCGGCAAAATATTCAGAGCCCCGGCCCCCTGGCCGGGTAAATACAAACAAACGGCACGCAGGCCGTGGAAAGAAGACCTAAAGCTTAAGAAGGGGGCAGATCTTCAATATTAGCAGCTGCCGCCTGGTCAGCACTCTTCTTGCTGGACTCGGCTTCAGCTGCATCCTTCTTTGATGCATTACCCCCAAGCGGCACAAGCGCCACTACCGGCTGCTCCTCCTCCTCCAACGCCTCTTCCTCAGCAGCCGCCAGGATCTCTTGATTATATCTATCAGAACACAAGCGGTACGTTTTTTCCCATGAGGCAAAGTCGGCATTGGGGAAGAGGCAGCCCCAAGTCATGCGCTGGATTTGAGCAGAGTCTTCCATCATCTCCCGGACCAGCTCTTTCTTTTCTTGCTCGGCCTTTTCCGAGAGCTCCTGAGTAAGACTCTTCTCCTGGGTCACCAGGCGTACCTTTACGCTCGCCAATGATTTCTCCAAGGTTTCGTATGAGGACATCTTTTGGCGAAGAGGTCTCAGCTCGGCCTTGAGGTTGTTGATGGTCGCCTCCAGCTCGCTATTCCTCTTCTGGGCCGCCTCTAACTGAGCCCGGATAGCGGCGGTAGCCTGCGCCTGATAATAAAGAATATCAATGGTCAGAACTTCATTTTGGGCAATTTGAAACATTGCCTTATCACAGTCAGAGGCGGCCATAGCTTTTGCAGCCTTTACCTCTTTGTTCTTCCGGTCAAGCGGCTTGCGAAGGCCGTTCACTCGGAGCAGGGCCTAAGTAAAAAGGGAACAGGCGTCAGTTTCCAAACAAAAAAGAAAACAGGCGTCCTTGAATTCAAATACTCAAAAATATGCTAAGTATACCTCAGCAAGGACCCCTGCAATCCCGTCTAGGTCAAGGGTGCCGACACCCCTGGCCGCCTCCCTTTCAGCTGGAGGAACGACCTTGATCATAGACTTGGCCACCTCGACCAAGTCAGGCTCCTGAGGGCCGGCTGCATCAAGCATAAACAAACGGATTAGACCTAGTAAAGAAGGGAGCAAGTATAAAATTTACAAGGATAATTTCATACTTCTAGGTGGCCCAGCTGGAGTTTTAGAAGAAGTGGCCGGCTGTTTCTCAGTCGCCACATGTTTCCTGGCAGAACCAGGAGAGCTCGCAACAGTCGTCCTCCGGGCCTTGGGGTCCGGCTGTTGGGAAGAAGAAGCTCTTGGAGCGCCCGTCTAAAAAAGAAGAAAAGAGTCAGTATATGCATAAACACAACTCCACAAAGAGGGTGAAAGGTTCGAAGCCCACCAAGGGTGCCCCCTTGTTGGGGGAGTCGGTTGAAGACTGTTGCATGATGGAGGCCCGCAACATGGCCGCCGCAGTCTTGGAGGCGGTAATTTTGCTCATGGCGTCCGCTGCAAAAACAAATAGCAAAGTTAATAAAAGTCATAACAAGAAATGCATGGAACAACAGAGTATTCGACAGGCCGGCTACCTCTTGAGCACCGTCTGCTGAGGCCACAAGCGGCCAAAAAGTACTCGTCGTAGAGCCATTTGAAGCTCAGGACGCAGTGCAGGGGTACTTGCTCTTGTACCCCTGAAGTAGAGTTCACCTTCGACTCTACTTTGAAGAGTCCTTTATCTAGGATCTCTTTCTTATCCTTGGGGGGAACAGGCGGCATGCTGCGGCCGCCTGCAAGAAGGGGCGGATTCCTGTTCCACCTGTTGAAGCGCTTGTTCAGCTCTGTGTCTGAACTCTCAATGATAAGGAAGGTGCTCCGCCAGTCCTTCCATTTGTTTGCTTTACCTCTCGTCATGAGGTAGCCCCTGTGGCTCGTTAATTGATACCAGCCGGTACCGCCTGCCTTAGGGGTCCGGCTGAGGTAGTTCATGTGGGCGAAAGCCTCGAAGTTCGGATCCACCCCGTGCAGTTCGCACCCGGCCACATAGCCGAGTACGTTGACCCAGGAGTTCGGGGCTAACTGCCATAACCCCAACTCATACCCATCCAAGATCCGCTGAATAGCCGAATGTAGTGGGAAGCGCAGCCCAGCCTTGATGGCCGCCTCGTAGTAGCCAAAGCAGGCGCCATCATAACTGGTACCAGCCGGCCAGACGACTGTGTCTTCTAGATCCGGCACGAACACTAAAAAGCCGGGGCCCATTGTGTGGTTTGCGATAAAGCTCTCCACTTTCTCTTTCATGGTTGTGATCCGGCCCCGAGGTACCGTGCAGTAGTAGAGGGTATTTTGCTCTCGGTGAGAGGCGGATGGCTCCGCCCAATCGTCCCCCTTCTCAACTGCGTGAGAAAGCCTTGCCTCTTGCAGGCGACTGTTTTTCTCTTCTGTGTCCAGAGAAGCATGGCCAGAAGAGCTAGACTCGGAATCGTCCTCTGACGAGTCCGAAGAGGATGACTCCTCCCCTCTCCCGGAGGGGCCCGCCTCCTCTCCTTTAAAAGGAGCAGGAGAGAATGTAGAATTGTCAACTGTAAAATGGGAAGGGGTCACTTTGACTCCTCCCTCAGAACTGCCGGCTTTCAAGCCGCTTTGTTTCACTTCCACATCTGGCGCCTGGTCAGATGTTTCACTAATCGGCACCCTGTGGGAGGAGCCGTCTGAGTTTGAGATCCTGACAGTCTTTTTTGTTCTGGCCATCATGATCTGCATAGACACAGATACAGTCGGACTTTGTATAAAGGGCAAAGATGGGTCCAGAAAAGGGCAGGCGGCACTCCTAGTCCTAGATTCAGCCGTCCCCGGTGACCGGCTGATCACTAACCTAGGTCGTGTCGTGTGCTTCCGTGGTGCCATTTCAAAAAAGAATAAAGTAAAGAGGAAATTAAGAGTAAGAGAACCGACGGTTACCTGAACGAGTGACGATTGATGAAGTTCTGAAAATCCTTTGCAGTCGGCTTGTCAGAGCAGACGGTAGGCAGAAAGGGTCCAAAATGTCAGAGCAAGTTCAGGGGTCCGAATGTTCTCTCACAAAGTTTTCAAGTGTGAAAATGACCGAAGTCAACACTCCTTTATATAGGCGAAGTGAGAAGGCGAAGGGTCACTTCCAAAATACAAAATTTTGGCGGGAGAATCTCTCGGCCTCTCGCCGAGTGACACCTGTAGCAGGCCGTCGCCTGTTACAGGGCGATACCTGTCACAGGTAACACATGACAAGTCACGTGCCACCTGTGAGGGGAAATGATTAGGGGATTTTTCCCACCAATCACCATCTGACAAGTGGACCAATCAAATTCCGCCATGTGTCCGTCACATGGGCCAATAGGAGCCTGCCACGTGTCAAGCAATGATCCGTCCACTCTGGACCAATTACGACACGACACGTGTCCTTCCCATGACACCTGGGATAACCGGTCACCTAGGCTCAACTTCCGTGGGAAGCCCAATCAGCCCAAGGTTAACCTAAACCTAGATTGGCACGTTTCCCGAGGTTATAAATACCTCCCTTAATCCTCATTAAGGGAGATTACGCAGATTACACACATTAAACTCTCTCATCTAGAGAGACCCAATCACTTTAATTTCCGCATTAATTACTCCTTAATCAAGTACTAACTTGACCGTCGGAGGCGGATCTCCAATCATCTGGAGCATCCGTTTGTTTTGCAGGTACAGGCGTCCGGTTCCAATCTCGGAATCGTAACTCTCCCGCAGGACATCAGAAAACCCCGAAACAGTATCACTGACAAGATCACTTGCATTTGGAACCCAATTTACCGTTCTATTTCCTTTGCTAGAAATTGTGATTCAAACAATAGTTGTTAAACTTGGTGAGAAGGATGTCTTTTTTTTTTTGTACAAGAAATCAATTTCCCAAGGTATTGAGAAAAGCCCTTTAATCGATTTTATGGGAATAAGGTTGCTACCTTCAATATCTATACATGTAATCATGAAAAACCCTATTATAATACTTCATGCAAAGTTATAATTCTGTAATGTTATATTATGATTTTCCAAGATTAAAATTTCATGTCGTGATGTAATGATCGTGATATATGTCACATAAATAAAACTTATTGAAGTTGAGTTGATAGTGGAAGCACCATCAAATTGAGCTTGATTGTTGGAAAAGTTGATGACTTATAGGAAACTATAATTGTATTATAAAAGATTTGGATTAATGGTGATGTATAGATTATGTACTCGAGAAGAAAAGGTGTCTAAAGTAACTTTTTTTATAAGGTAAGAAAAAAAGAAAACATTAGGAAATCCTCCGCACGAGGGGAATTCCTAATGCATGGTGTCTAAAGCAACATAAAAGATCATTCAATAGCTAAAGTAAGCAGCATGGTACCAAATAGAAAGATTGTATTACACTTTCAATGATTATAAACAAGTTTTGTATTACTCAATAAAAGAAGAAGATGTTTAGTAGTTTTCAGGATTCACAAATTCTTATATGTGGTTGGCCACACCATGCCATATATAGGGGGTTACTTCGTTAGTATTATAGGGGTTACCCGCCCAATGTTCCAGGGTTACTTCATAGTGTTCTAGGAGTTATTTCGTCAGTGTACTATGGGCTATTCGGTCAGTTTTACAAAGATTACTTAATTAGTGTTTTAAGGATTATTTTGTTCTTTTACAAGCGGCCACGGTGTGACCAGCCGCACATAAAACGCGCTATTCGGGATTATTAAGACGCAAAAGAAATGCTACTCCACACACCTTTTTTTTTTTTTTTTTTTTTTTTGAAATCATGTTACTCCACACTTAATAGCCCTACAAATTAGTTAGACATGTATAGACAAATATCATATGAGATTAATGAAAACATCTTTAAAATTAAATCAAATTTAAACAAGAATGAATTCTGACCGTTGATATCGTTTAGATCTCACGGTTGATGCTATACCTCATAATTTCATATGTTTTCTTTTTTTTTTTTTTTGCCTCGTTGGAGCTTTTCACTTTAGCGCTGCACCTCTCTTTCTCTCTCCTCCATTGAAGCGTATTCTGAGTTCTCCATTGAAGCGTACTTTGAGCTCTCTCTCCTCCATTGAAGCAGTATCTGAGGTAAGAAGTTTTTCCTTTTTTTATAATTCAAAATCAACGAATATCAATTTCCCAATCTAGGGTTTAGTTTCACACTATCGTTAATATTAATTGTTAGTATACTCAATTAGGGTTCATCTAATGTAGATTATTTAACTATAGGTTGTAATTGCTTATCTAATGAGCGCATTTGTTGCTGTAATTTTGATGTATGCAATTTACGTTTTTGTTATTAAAAGAGAAGAATTTTATGTGATTTATCGACCTAGTTTGATAATTGAGTGAAATTTGGTTGTTATTGTGTTGCATATTTCAAGCCTAATTGAACCCACAATCTAAGCCAACAATTTTTGAGCCTGTTGCCCAAGCCAAGATTGAGTTTTGAGGTTGTTTGTCTAGATTTCATGATTTCTATCTTGCTCGAGTCGACTCTAATCCTATTTTATTCGGGCTCGGCTTGAAGGTTTAACACAGTAAAACCCTATTAATATTGTTTGTGCCCCTATTGCCGTAACTCAGTATGAATATAGATGTGCCTGCGTCACAATTTCTTACGTGTGCAAAGTAATAATTTTCATGCTTTTGGCACGTTCACTATGCTTGAATAATTATGAAATTGTGGTTAGTAATTTGTTATCTTATCTATTACTGAGTATGCTGATATTATTTTATGTAGTTATTGATTTTTTGGGCTTCATAAGTAGATTTGATGTTTCCACCATTGTGCTTGTTAGGGTCATATTTAGTACACTAGACAAATCTTGTTTTGGCCGGAAATTGTTAAATATGAGTACTTGGTGTGAACACATATGGTATCTATTAATTCTTGATTAAGTGAAATCAAGATGGATGTGTTTATAATGATGGTCACAATAAGGGAATGCTTAGGCTTAGATTTTTTGACATGATGCCCCAAATATAATTATGCTTGGGTGATAAAATTAAAAAGGATTGCCGAATTTTGTTAATTGTCAAGAGGGACTATGTATTGTTAGCTATTGAGGTATATGAAGATATTGATGAGCCTTGGCGTTGGTTTACAGTTGATGTTTGTAATTGCCCCAAATTTATAAGGTTCCCTTTTGGGGTTTAAATCTCATACCCAAGTGTGTAATTGATGAGGAGATGCGTGATATTGCGTTACTTCTTTACAGCGCCTAAAATAAGCTTAGATTATCAAAGACAAGCTAACTGTATTACTTTTGGTTTTTGTGAGAATTTGATGATTTGGCAATCTAGTTAGGACATTGATCAAAATGGGAAAGTGCTAAATGGAATTTTTTTTGAAGTTAGTAGCTTTTGCGATGAAATGTTCCACAGTGATGAACTGTTGGTTATTTATTAAATTATAATCTGGACTGCTCCCTTTCCTTGGTGTAGTTTTTTTTTGGTAGTGTTTCCAGACTATTGTTTGGTGATTGGGATCGGTGAATTTACGGCTATTTTAATGATTAAGAGGATCAACTGTGTTATTGATTTGAATCATTAAATGTTGTTTTTGGTGTTTGTCTGGTCATGAAAGTTATAGATAGTGATGTTCGTACTTATTTTATTTTACTTCCTTCTATTCAGAAAGAGTTTTCACTAAAGATTTAGTTTGAGATTTGGTATTGTTGGCTGGAAATTGAATTCAGTCAGAGGCAACATAATATTTGTTATGATGTTAAAAATATATTTATTTCTATTAGGGTGGGGTAAATGTATCAGATTCCCCCGATTTTGTATGTTGTGGTGTAAAACAGTCTTTACTGTTCTTGGTTACAGGTGGGTATCTAGAAGATCGTGTGAGTGCCGTGGTCATTGTTTGGCTATTTAAGAGTGACTAGTAGGTTTTTACTTCTCGCTCTAGTCTTGCTTTTGTTTTTAAAATCATGGCAATTGTGCTCCGTAATCAGGTTGAGCTTTGTTACACCTTTTTACCTCCCTTGACTTTTAATATTTTTTTGTTAGATAATTGGGAGTGTTACACTCTCCTCCACTCCCCTCTCTATTCAAAGTTTCTGAAAATGAAGTTGACTGTCAAGACTCTGAAAGGAAGCCATTTTGAGATTCGAGTTCTGCCCAATGACACTGTTAGTATCTATCATTCTCCTTTATTTCGTTAATGTACTTTTTTTTTATTGGGTATATGGATGGATGTTATGCAACTGAGTGTTTAATATAATTTTTTATGCATTGATTCCATATAGTGTATACATCATATGTCAGCATACTAAATAGATTTTCATTAAATATAGCTTAGATTTTTGTAGTTGAATGAGTTTTATAATAACAGGTTAGTGACATAGAATTTTCATTTTATCATGGGTTATGAGTTTTAAATGCTTGTAACTTTCTCAGTTTGCTAGTTCATTGAATCATGAGTAAGATTTTCTAGATGACTTCATTTTATAAATGGGGATAGTATTGTCTATAGCATGAACAGGATGATTTCGGATCATTCTGAATTTGGGTTAGAGTTTAAAATGCTACTTCTTTTCTAAAAACGTTTAAATGGGTATTAGGAACCTTTTAGTGTCGTCTTGTATCACCTTATGGCTTTAAGTACTTATAAATTGATTGGTAAAAGTGATTACAACTTTTCGTTTTAGTTATCTATGATGCGAAGATAACTTGTTCTAAAATAGTTTGTATGGTATTTTTGTATTATGGTTATTCTACAAAAATATAATGTTGGCTGTGATGCTTATTACTTTGTTAGGATATGGAAAAAAAATTCTTTGGCATACTTGGGAAAGAGCTTCTTGATTGTCAAATTTACTAATAGTTGCTGATTTGGAAATCCAAAGCATGGAAAAAGGCAAGGTCAAAGTTACAAGTTTTCAAAAAAAAAAAAATATGCCTACTTTTATTAGGTGGCTATGAAAACTAATATTTGTGTAATTTAGCTAGAAGCCTAGAAGGCAGGTATAGTACCAAGAAATTTTTCGATTGGTGAATGAGAGATCATTGGAAATTTAATGTTATCATGGGTTTGTAGAAATTTAAAATAATTAAAATGCGTATATGCAGATGAAGTAGTATAGTAGTGCCCCTGAGTTCCTTAAGAGCTCTACTATTAGTATTTGCTCATGTTTTAGAATGGAGAAACATGACCTTGAAGTTTTTTACAAATTAATTGAGATTATGAGAAACATAGTACAGGATGTAATGCTCATTGCCTGTTAGATAAAGATTGCAGATTTTGGCATGTGGTTTAATTCTCAAGATGTGAGTGGTTGGGAAAGAGTATTTAGGAATTACTGTAGGATTTTATTACATATCTCAGTATATTGACAGCTGGGTTGCATATGTTATTGTGCCTCAGTACACTAAGCAGGCTGATGGAATGAGTGAAGGTAATAGCGATGAATAAGAGGGATTTTAATCATTCACAAAACTTCAATCTTCAAAGTTGGGGTTGTGAAATGTTGAAGTGATAATGGTCTGCAGAAATGGATGAATAGCAATTGGTCTTAAATAATTTTTCCCCTCATTATAAAGCATTGTGTTTTCCATTACATCAGCATTTTGTTTGGTACAAGGATTTTAGATATTGGTGAATTAGGCCTTGTTATTTTCTACTTATTTGACTTGTCTAAGAGATATAGTTCAATAAGTTAAGTTGAAATAAGTTTTGTCAAACAGTTTCAAACAAAATTATTACTCCCTTCATCGTTAAATTATTGTCTTCTTAGGCTTGGCCATGATATTCAGAGTATATAGTAGGAAAGTATAGGCTTTTTAGGTAGATAGTGGAAATATAAGAATAAGAATTTGGATTGAGGGAAAAAAAGTTTGTGGAGGGTCTTACTTTACATTAGATAGGAAGAGAGAGAATGAGAGTAAGATAGAGGGGGGGGGGGGCCATATTACAAGAGGGGTAGATGAGTTGGGTAAGTTAAGTTTTCCATTGAAGGTAACAAGACAATTATTTGGAGATTGACCAAAGTAATATAGAGGAAAATTATTGAAGGACGGAGAGAGTATTTTCTGTTACACTTCCACATGAAGACAATTTCAGACCAAATATGTATAATTCAAACAAAGTTGGGACTAATTATATTGATTCCTATAATGCCTTAGTTTTACCTTTGTTGCTCTTCAATAGGCCATACTTTACTTTTTTGTAATAAAAGATTTTGTACTTATTCCATTCATGAATAAGAGCAACACTTTCTTTATTAAGGTTAGACTTCTTAACGTTTGATTGCAAATTTTCACTAAATGTATGAAAAGATTATTTCGGTTGGGATCTTGTTCATGTTTTCATTCTTATTATTGTAAATATTACTTTTATGCTTTTTAATAATTTGTAATCATAAATATATATATGGTCAAAATGGCGACTTTTAGAGACTGAAAAGACAGTGATGCATTCCCTTTAGATCATAGGAAGTAAATGCAACTTCTTTTGAGAGTGTATGTTTTATCATTGGATATTAAAAAAAAAAATTATGGTATTTTGCACATGTTTGTTCAATAATAAATGTAGCTCACAAAGTATTCTTTGAAATGCATCTCATCTGTTTACATTTGCATTGGTCTGAAGATTATGGCGGTGAAGAAAAATATTGAAGATGTGCAAGGGAAAGATAATTATCCCTGTGGGCAGCAGTTACTAATTCATAATGGGAAAGTCTTGAAAAATGAAACAACCTTGGCAGAGAATAAGGTTTCTGAAGATGGCTTCCTTGTGGTCATGCTCAGCAAGGTAATTCTCACTTCACTAAATTATATTCATTTTCTATGTTTTTTTTTTATTTTTTATTTTTTCAATGATAATAACATCATTACTCTTCAGCCCACTGTTGTAAATTTTGAGGTCAGAAATATGCAACTTTAGCACTAACCTGTGAAGGCTAGCTAGAGAATTTACATTGTTCAAGAGGTTGTAAGTACAGAGTAGCAAGGAGTATTAGATGTCTGCTGTTTCTTTTTCCCTCTTGCTCTCCTTTTTACTATTTCTCTAACATTGAGACATTGTGGAAACCTCGAAGCAATGTAACAAATAGTATACATTCAAATTTTAGATGATGCCACAAGCTCAAAGTACTTGCAAATGTTTGCCTTCTTAAGATAACTCTCATTAATTATTCTTAAATTTAGTCGGATCAATCTCAGACATTTGTCTGAATCTGAATATCCACATCATTAAAAATGTAACCTGAACTCTCGATGATTCAGGTTTTGGTCCCTCTGCAATGAAGTTTCTTTTTCTTTTTTCATATTCTCCTCCCCCCCCCCTCTTTGGGGTGGGTGGGGCTGGGGGAAGGGGGGTAAAAAAACAATTATATTGTTAAAAATGAGTTCATACTGCTTGACCACACTAGGCGTCCCATCCAACTACACTAGCATCCTTATACACAAGAGTACACTAGCGTTACGTCATACTCTTGATAACATTAAAACAAGAGTTGCTGTCCATCTGTCATTAATCAGAATCTAAATCCTCAAATACACCTCATGCTTGATGGGTGGTTGAAATCACCACAGTAGGTGTCATTACAGCTCTGTTTCTAAAAGCATAATTCCTGACAAACTTAATATGATATACCAAAGCAGCCAGACTATCCAACATCGTTCCTATCTTCCTTTTGGATTGACGAATTCTGTTCCACCTTTTCCTGCTTGAGAAACAAAACTGTCATTATTATTGAATCTGATCTTCTGCATTGCAAGCTTTACTGTAGGGGCATCTAAACGGAAGGTGTGCTGTGCTCTCCTTCCCATCATTGCATAACACACAGCTCACTTTCACAGATTCCAAGCTTCTGAAATTTCTTCCTTGTTCTCAGTTTGTCCCGAGCTGCTACTCAAGCTATATAATAGTGCTTGGGAAAATCATATCTGTTCCAGGCTTTTTCATGATTTTATCTACTTAATAAGAAATGAATCGTAAATGGAGCACAACTCAAAAATATTTTGCTGTGTTTTGATTTAGCCAAAATTTTCATCTTTTTTTGTTTTGTGCATGTTTGAATAAGGTTATTAATTTTCAGTATCTTTTTCCGAGTTCTCGTAAGAAAGCTATTAGACGTTTTTGGAAATTATTTTTCCACATTGATTTTTCTTGTTGATGGCTTGTAGTGGAAGTTATGGACCTTATGGTATTTAGGAAGTTATTGTAAGGAGCTTACAAAATATTAAGGAGTTTATAATAACGTCCTGAATATGATCTTGTTTGATCTAAACTATGTGGGGTCTTTTGGGCTTGAAGCCATAGTATGGTTGGATATGTTTCAAAGTGTGTTCGACATGCCAGAAGTTGCAATACAAGTCTTTTGCTAAATAAATTAAATTTTGTGGTAGTTCGGAGAGTGCCTTGTTACTGGGTGCTTCTGTACTGTGTTTCCTTTTTCTTTAATGTTAGATTCTTCTCCGTCTTTTGATAATTCTACTTTTCACTTTTGCTTTGTTTTATTTCATTTATTTTATTACTATCTTGCAGAGCAAAACATTAAGTGCGGGAGGAACTTCAAGTGCCCAGGTAGTGTTGGTCTCCCACTTAATAACTACTCTGTGGTTTCTTAGTCATTATTAACTCTTATGTCTGTCTTGCTACAGTCCGTACAGCCTACACCTAATCCTAATCCTGCTCCTAGTCCTAGTCCTAGTCCTGCACCTAGCACTACGGCTGCTGCTGCCCCACCCGAAGTACAGATGTAAGATTCAATAGAATCATGATTTGTGCTATATCAGATTAATTTCTCATAGTTCATCTTTTTGTTTAATTGCTGCAGGGACTCAAAGGGTGCAACTGATTCAAATGCTCAAAATTCCAAGTATGTGAAATTTAATTCACTTTTACAATTTGTGCTTGAAATAGTATTGTTGCTTTATTTTTTTTTGGTGGCCACTAGGGCACAAGTGTATAGCCTATGAATGGCTTGTGAAGATAGATTAATAGTATAGATCCACAAGAAATAGTTGTAATTACTAGTTATCTACTAGATTTGATTTACTAGTTATTCAATTTCTTTTCAAAGCTCAACCTAAAATTGAAATATGTGAACCAATATGTGTGTATACTGCTTGTCAAGCAAGTATTGTAAAACATAGCTGCTGAACAATTTGCGAGACTGATAGAAGAGAAGTCTTTTTTTTATTGTACTATCATCTGAAGGGTTCAAGATTCACAATAGCATCAAGTAGGAAATTTGCTGGTTTTATGCAGCTTTGGCTTAATTTTTTGAATTCAATTACTGTTAGTGATTGAAGAGGCATAGTAACATTTAGCATGAGGACATTTCTGCTTACTTTTTCAGATTGGGGATTAGTGATTTTATATTAACCAAGAGCCTGTTGAAGTATTTGTTATGATTTCATTGACAAGTCTACGGAATTTGTTGGGTTACTATGCTAAAGAATAAAAACAAAAGACAGAGAGGGGGGTCACCAATGTACATTCATAAAAGGAGAATAAGGGGAAAAAAGCAATTATGCCTTGGTGGCTCATGTATAGTCCAATTAACAAGATCCAGACATGGCAAGTCTGCAATTGTCTTCTAAGTCTTGCACCTATGCCTGGAACATCCAAAATAGAAAAATCAAGCCAATTTCTCTCCCTTAAGTAATCTATGCTTTCTTCATCCTTGTTCACCATGCATAAGCATGTCTTTAGCTTTACAATTTAAGCCATTTTCTTTAATCATAAATGCACTTTACTTCAGGAAGATTTTGTTCTTCTTCTTGAGTCCATGTGTGCGTAAGAACCAACACCTTGCTCTCTGTAGCCACTCTCGCATTTGGTATGGCCTTACTGTTAGTGTAACTGCTCCTTCAGGAAGTCTAATGGATTCGGTAAGATCAATTCAAATCAAGTGAAGTTTACAATTTGTAATCCTGGGTTGGATAAGATCAAGTTATATATACCATGGCAAATTCAAATTCAAATTCAAATTCAAATTCAAATTCAAATTCAGTCTCCCCTGCCTCAGTGCCTCGTGACTACATTCATTATCAAATGCTCTATTTGCATTTGCAAATCTAGAGATAATTGCCTTTACAGGCCCATTCAGATTTTCTCTAATAAGTATCCCTCTTTGAGAAATACCTTCCTCATTGAAGCTCTTTTTAACTGCGCTCCTCAAAGATGATATTAGGTGCATAGGCTTTGAAGTCAATAGTTTCATTCCAACATTTAACCTATACTATCTTAACTCTTTCATTAATTTTGGAACCTTCACCAGATTGTTGGTGAGACCAGCCACAATAATGCCAACTTTATTCTGGTTCCTCTGTTGGCCTCAATCTCACATCTTGTACCTTACATGTATGTTAGTTCTAACCTTCTCTTCTAACCATTTCCTTTTCTTCTAATTAGAGCTGGTTGCCTTTACAAGCCCTATCAGACTAATGAATATCTTCCTTTTAGAATTGCCATTCGCGTTGAAGCTCGTTTTCAACTTTTGCTCAAAGATGACGTGAGGTGTATAGGATTTGAATTTAGTAGTTTTCATGCCGCATTTAACCTATACTATCTTCATTCTTTCATTAATTTTGAAACCTTCACCACATTGTTGGTAAGATTATTCACAATGATGCCGACATCATTCTGGCTCCTTCGTTGGCTTATATTGCGAATCTTGTACCCCACAGTTATGGTAGATCTAGCCAATTCTTCTAACCATTTGCTTCGTCGTGACATAAGATTATTACTTCTACCTCTTTTTTTTTTTTTTTTTTTTTTTTTTTTTTTTTTTTTGGGTATGTGTGTCTTACTATTCTATATCCTAGAAGCCATGGCGACAATGTGTCATGCAGATGATGATCTAGCAACCTTAGCATTGTTTTTACTGCACCCATGTCTATGAAGTGAGTGCGTCGCAATGTTGCTGATTAGGAAGTACCCCTGTGAAAAAATTATCTTTAGTCATGGGGACTTTGCATGATAACATAACATTTTTACATGGGCTGTCAACTATCTATCACAACCCCACTTTATCAGAGGGACTGGTAATGGTTATGAAAATCACTAACAGGTGGAGTTATTTCATCCCAAGCAAATGTAAAGATAATATTTGTAGCGTTTCTGTCCATTTACGTAACTGCAAGAGGTGATCAATGGATTCATCCTACTTTGACACATTTTTATCAGTTGCCGGGGAAAAAGCTTGAGGATTTTTGCTGCTAGAATTTTTCTGATTGCATGCTTCCAAGGAAAAAAGTTGTAGGCAGTCTTCAATATCCAAAGACCAGTAGAAGAGAAATCAAGGTCACGGTGCTCATTAGATTAAGTAGCAGAAGTTCTCAACTAATAAGGATCCTCTTTTTTTGTTCTGACAATTGTCTTCTTCATGATTAACTTCAGTTCTATACAGTGACTCTTTCAACATGTAAATGAAATTTTCTTCTGGGTATTGTGGAGGCATAAAGAAAGTTTATAATGGTTTATGATGGGAATAGCTCTGGTAAAGGGCCTAGTCACCTAGATAACAGTGAAGATGGATTGTGTTCAAGTTTGCATTCTTAATAATACAGTCCAGGCCTAGAAGAGATTGGGGGGAGATTCCTGCTGGCAAGCCAGACTTTCTTCGGTACTACTTATGCTTTAATTCATTGGAAAAATAGGGTTCATGGTAATTTCTGAAGTGTTAATGTCCCTTTTGTGCATTCTTGAGGACAGTTAGTCAGCATGCATTTAGGTGTTGCATTTGACCAGTTTATAACTCTTCTGTTTTATTCTGGTTTTGTGCATGAGTAAAGATAGCTTGATCGTTTTGATGTTGTTTTTCCAGAACCTAGATTGTGTAATTGGTTGATCCCTTGTAGTGTGTCTACAAATCTTAAATGACCTTACTCTAGTATTCCCATATTCTTCGCATGTCATATCAATGTGACATTTGAAACAATATCAAAGTAGCTGTGCTAGGTTGTCCATAGATTCTTCCTATTCCTGTCGCGAGGGATCCTTGTAAACCCTCTCTACGAATTATTTTGTTTTTCTGTGAATTAGTGCTCCATCTTTCAAGAAGCTCACTCTAAAGCATATATCTTGAGGTATCTTGGTCTCAAATGCTTCCTAATTAATTGAAATGATGGTTTACTGTTCTGAGTTATTGATTTTATATTGTGAAACACAAAGTGGCCATGGATGTTAGGAAATAAATTCAGATTTAACTGTTTCACCCACTTTTTGACCTTAGGAAGAATGTCATCCCTAGAACATCTAATGGCAATAAAAAGAAGTATAGAATCAGTTAAACTTGGCTAAAACATCTCTGCTTTCTCTAGTTTATACTCCCTCCATTCTTTTATAATCGTAATGTTGGGGGATTACGCTTGCCAATGCATATTTTATAACATTAATATCCTCAATTATATTTTATTCAAATTTATAAAAAGTTGATATTTTGAAAGTACTTTGAGATAAAGCTAACAAAATTCCGCATGACTGATTTTTCCAACATATAATATGATCAAAGAAGTGTGTGTGAATAGTCTAAAATTTCAAACGTTGCAATTAAAAAGAATGGAGGTAGTATGTTTCTAGTTGGGTGTGTATTTGAAACAAGTGAATTGCTAGTTTTTCTGTGACTATTTCAGGTAGTAGCCTGGTTATTTATTTTGTGTATTTTCTTTCAGTCTAAAACTCTTGATTTCCTTTTGTAGTGCACCCACTGATACCTATGATCAGGCGGCTTCTAATTTAAGTGCCGGCAATAATCTGGAGCAGACCATACAGCAAATTATGGATATTGGCGGCGGCGGTTGGGATAGAGATACAGTTATCCGTGCTCTTAGGGCCGCTTACAACAATCCTGAACGGGCTATAGATTATTTGTATTCTGTGAGTTCAAAATTTTCAAATGGTCTAGTGTTTTACTCCCTTCGTTTTCCTAAGTTCTACTCACTTTCTGTTTTCTTCCATTTTTCCAAGTTCTACTCACTTTTACTTTATTCCTTTTATGGCAACTTTTTATTCATTTTTTCTTAACTACAAACCCACTTTGTGGGTCCCGACTGTATTATATAAATCCCTTACTCTCTATCTCTCTCCTAATGAAAGCAAAAGTAGTTCAATTTTCCTTGGTTTCTATTGCTACAGTAACTGAGTAGACAGTAAAACAGAGGGAGTATTTGTTTGGATTTATCTTGCATTAATATGTTCCACTTTTCTGTACATAGGAAATTCCACACACCGCAGAAATTGTTGAGCCAGTGCCACAGCTTCCAGCAGATCTGGGGAACACTGCAACAGAAAGCGGGACGGATCCTGTTTCTGGGGCACCAAATGCTTCTCCTCTAAATATGTTTCCACAGGTAGAATTAATTCTTGATTTGTACATCTTTGCAAAACTTTGTATCCTTTTCTAATCTTACGAGGGAAATGACTAGGAGTCACTCTCTGATGCGGCTGCTGGTGGCTTAGGATCACTTGATTTCCTCAGAAACAATCAGCAGGTGTGATTCTTTTTTTTTTTTTTTTTTTTTTTTTTTTTTTTTTTTCCCTTTCACTTTATACTTTTTCATTCCATCTAAAATGACATGCTTGCATTGTTAATTTGCATTTCTGAGACATTTGTGCAAAAACCTTGTACTTGAAGTGGGTATAAGGAATCAGATCTCAGAGGTGCTCATTATATGATCTTCGAAAATTAGGGAATATTCTGGTAGCCATGGTAGATGGATACTTCTGTTGGGGAGGGATCAATGAGTCCAGAAGTGCTACTGGTCCATAGCTCAAGCTGTATCGGCCCATAGAAGATTTATCACTTAAATTTTTAGTAAAACTTGTGACCATGTAATCTGTTGCAAATTTAGAGTTAACAAACTGTCAGGAGGGTTAAAATAGCAGATAGGGACTGAGAGGAGTTAATTTGCAGAAGGAGTAATGACATAATGACATGAGACTCAATGGTAGAAAGCAATGGGACAGAATATCAGATTGTATAAGTGAAGAGACACTGTAATTAGAGTGATATACTTGTACTTAACTGATGCCAGTTTGGGATGGGCATATCATATTTAGGTTTCAGATGCATGAAAAAGTTAAGAATTTAGCAACAAACATGTGACAGACATATGTGATCAATCTCTGGTTGTCTGCAATTGAAGTCGACTTAGTTTCTTCTTTTAAGAGCCAATCAAGCTATCCTTTCTAGTAAATCTTTAAGAAAGAACTATAACTCCTGGAGCAGCCTTGAAATTGTAAAGAGTAGGGCTTCCTATAATTTACAGAATCAGTCATGATGTGGCTTCATCATCTGTAATCAGATGTATATGAGAATCAAATTTCTGTTTGATAAGAAGTAATATATATATATAGCATTGCTTGGGTGAAGGCTTTTTTCTTGCAGTTTGTGCTGACAAGATAGGAATAATTTCTGTACTATCCTTCATGCTTATGTTTTTGACTTTTGGTTTTACAGTTCCAGGCATTGCGCAACATGGTGCAAACGAATCCTCAGATTTTACAGGTTTTGATTTCGGTTTCATTTGGATATTTGGGTAATTGTTAATCTTTATGAACTTTGTTATTAAGTAGGAGTAATGTTTTGGAATGCAGCCAATGCTTCAGGAGCTTGGAAAGCAAAACCCAGAGCTTTTAAGATTGATTCAGGATCACCATGCTGAGTTTCTTCAACTCTTAAATGAACCTCTTGATGGCTCTGAAGGGTGAGTAGGAGTTTGTTTTCGCTGATTATCAGCCTTTTGTCTAAAAGATGATTTAGGCATGTTGATACTGTTATGTTTCAGATTTATCTTTCAAAGTACTGATTTTTTTGCCTATTGGTGTGCATATACCTACAACTGAGTACTGACTGACTTTTGATGCCTATCTTTAGTTATTCCTTATCATAAGTTGCCAAAGTATATTCTTTAATATTATGCCCTGTTCTATTTATGATGTCGGAATTGTTCAAATGGGCACGCTTGAAGTACTTTCTTTGTTTTCTACCATTTGTTTCAATTTTTAGAAGATTTAGGTCTTTTTCTTCAATATAAAAATTTAGTTTGAGGAAACTAAACTTTAGATTAGGGTTTACCCAAATTCAATTCACAATTAAAATAAGTTCAGATAGGTTTAAAGAGTAGTTTTTCAGTTGAAAAGAATGAGGCCTAATGTTTTTCTTATAAATGAACCTATGGTTTTGGACTTCTGGTGTGATTGGTTTGGAAACAACTGTGCGGAGGATATCTATGATAATCACTTGCTCACAATCTGAACAGTCTTCAAAATTCTGGCTGCTCATTTAATTGATTGGATTGGCTGTACAAATTTTCCTCTTCAAATTATATGTGGGGGCTTATTTTCCAACTTTTGTTTTGAGGCATTGTATTGACTATTTGACTGAATAGAAACAGACTGTTGTTTACTTACATTTTTTTTTAATCCAAATTATAGTGCTTTTATAAAAATCTTTTGGTTGATTTCACTCTGTAGGGATATATTTGACCAGCCTGAGCAGGATCTACCCCATGCGATTAGTGTCACGCAAGAGGAGCAGGAGGCTATTGAACGGGTATGGATATGCTTGCTTTTATATACTGACTTTATGCATAGCAGTTACAGATGCTGATTAATATTGTTCCTTCTGACCAGCTGGAGACAATGGGTTTTGATAGAGCACTAGTCATTGAAGCATTTTTAGCTTGTGACCGAAGTGAAGAACTAGCAATTAACTACTTGTTGGAACATGCTGATGACAATGAAGATTAGACAGGAGGTATATTTGGTTACTGATCTTTGAATTGCTGATTGTAGGGAAGTATACTTCGGTTAGTTGTCACCATCTGATATAGTAAAGCTTTGAGAACAAAAATGGTTTGAGTATCATTGGTGGATAATCCACTCTGTTTTGGCAATTTTTTTTCCTTCCCCATTTTTTTACCTAGTCTTTTTTCCTTCCGGTTCTTTTATCTCCATTTATAATGTTTTCCCTGGCTTACAAATTAAAGGTTATTGTTTGCATTTGGGATTACATGTAAAATTTTAACATATTGTTGAAATGCGTTGGTTGCTTATAGTAGTGCAGCCTACTAAATTATTTGGGAATCCCTGTTCAGCCTCTCCTCTATTGGTAGTCTTGCCTCTTTAATCTGCCAAAGTAAATACTTGTACTACGTAATTACGAATCATTCATTCACACCCATTTTTTTTTTATTCTGAGACATCAAAAGTTGTGTGATAAAAGTAGCATGGTAAACCTAACTTTAGGTCATTCATATGCTAGGCCTATGTTACAATCAGAAACTACCTTTTTCTAGTATAAACATGCTTTTATTGAGGATAACATCATATTGTGTTTGACATTCTGTGTGCGTCAATTATTGATGATGCTCAAAAATGATTGATGTTCAAAACGTGGTGTACTTCAGTACTTGTTGTGTTCATGCTGTGCTTATATATTGGCATGTAGATGCAGGGGTGATAGTTGTATTGGAATAAATGGAATGAAATGAAATAATCTCTTTTTCACATTTTTTGCAACTTTGAAGGGTGTGGGGACTCCTAGCCAAAATTTGTTTGTGAGTGTAAGAGAGAGAAAATATAAATGCATGTGATGAGGAGAGAGATGGAGATAAATGATAACCTAAAAAGGAAAGAAAATATTAGTTGCAAATAATGTATATCATCCATTTTTGGCAAAAATTGCAAAACATATGTAAATAAATAGGAAAATTTGTCAAGAATAAGCCTACCTTTACATGGTTAGCTCAAAATAAGTCGACTTTTCAATTAACTAAAAATAAGTTGAGGTTTAAAGGTATTTTCTTTTAATAGGTCCAATGACCTATAACCTACTAAACAAGTTAATTTTTTAATTAAAACTATTTATTAAATGTTAATTATAATTACATTAAATAAAAAAAATTAAAAATCCCAGCCACCCCCCTCCCCCACACAAGCACACCCTATCTGCTAATTCCTTTCCCTTTTCTTGCTTCCCCCACCCCTACCTCGACAATAGGACCTCCCCTGTGTCCCCCTATCGGCGGAAACAACCTTCCTCCCTTGTCCATCAATCCTATGTCGACCCCCTCCATCCCCAGCCAATTACCGCCGCCCCCAAACCTTAAAGCAATCCCAAAACCAACCCAGTTGACCTCGTTGAAGCTGTCGGAACCGCTGAGAATTGGAACGGAGAATAAGCCAGCGGAAGAAATTTACATAAATTGAATTTCGGTGAGACTCAATGAACGACTTCATCACCAAACTTTATGTGGTGATTTCCCGGCGAACTAGAGAGTGAAAGAGGTGAGAAAGAGGGGTGGATGTCGGGGTTTGGGGAAACGGGAAAGGGGAAAAGGACAGATGGGGGCGTCGTGGGTGAGGGAAAGTGAGTCGCCGGGCAGGGGTGATCTCCAATCTTGGCCGCTCCAGCCAGCGTCGGTGGCTGGGGAGCTGGTGGGGAGGGTGGCTTGGCTGGGATTTCTATTTTAGGTTTTTTTTTTTAAAATTTTTTTAAATTTGATATTCTTGTTAATTGAAAAAAAAAAAATTCAATAATTAATCAAAAATAAATCTTAATTAATTTTTTAAAAAAATAGAGTCAACTACATAATGACATGTGCCATAATTTACCAAAACAACCGGTTATCCCACAATTCAACATGTCATGACTCGTTTTGAGAATATAATAGGGAAAGGTCGACTTATTTTTAATTAATCAAAAAGTTTACTTATTTTGAGCTAGTTGGACAAAGGTCGGCTTATTTTTGACAAATGTTCCTAATACTACCTCTGTTAAATGTTATGTGCAACTTTGGAGTATTATTTGTGAGACATAAAATATTCCAAAGTTGCACATAACATTTAACAGAGGTATTAAATATAATTATTACTCTATTAGACTTTAGAACTATTTATCAAGGTTGTGGGTAAAGTAGGACTCCAAGGTGATGAATTTGAGGTGATTTTGCAAACATTTATTAAATTTTGACTACTGTATTTGTGTTCAGGGTTGGATTTTTGTTTTTTGGAAATAATTTTTATTTTATTTAAGGTGTAGATTCCTATCCTTTTGCAATAACACACAAGTAGATAATATAATGAGTTTAGGGGATTTTTTTATTTTTTTATTTTTTTAAAGAAGACCTAAAAAAAGAAAATACACAAAAAAAGTTTTTTTTTCCCTTTCTTTCTTGCTTTGAGTTTAGGGGATTCTAGTATTACTATTCAACCAATTATAAAAATGTATTCCGTAGTTTGTTTGCCTATTGACGGAAAGTGATTTATGGAAAATGACTTCCCATACTTCAGAAAATATGAATCAAGGAAAAATACTATTGGAGAAAACGAACTTTTTGAATTGTAAGAAAATTGTAGAAGATGAAAACAGGAGTGGAAATGAATCAATGGTGGGAGTTTGGGAGGATAGGCAAGGGATGTTAGGAGAAGGAAGGGGAAAAAAAATAACATTCCTTCCTTTTAAAGGAAGACATTTTCCGTGTAAGTATAGCCCATTACCAGGTAGGGACAAAAAAAGTCCATACCTATGTTGATTTTTTTTCTCCAAGGGTTTGAAAAACGTCATTTATTATTTTAATACTATTATTTTAAGTTTGAGCTTGTTATAATAAATTTAATACTATTATATGTTTCTTTAATATTGTTTTCGAGGTGTCATTTTGCTCTTTTAAGTAATACTTCTATATTAAAAGATTAAGTGTTTGTATCAGAAATAAAGTGTTATATTTGTATCATGTTATCGCATAAGTGAAATATGTTATTAAGGAAGACAATATTGTTATTGTAAATTAGAAATTGTAAAGCTGGGAGAATTGGTATCAGAGCCATACAGTTAAAAGTTAACTAAGTTGTTAATTATTAAGTAAAATTGGAGAATACTAGGCCTTCTATTGAGTATAAGAAACCTGATTTTAAGCATTATTATAATATTTATGAAAATACTGGTAATTTTGGTCCAGTCCTTAATTATATAGTAGGTCAAATTGGCGAATTAAGATCAGAGGTTGATGACATACATGCTCGTTTTATTAATATTGAAAGCAAAATATCAATAACAACAATCGATATTAATAAAAAAAAAGTAAGTGACCTAAAAGAACAAGTTAAACAAGTACAACTTGTTTTAACAAACGAAGTAAGACATCAATCTATTAAAGAAGTATCACCTAATAAAGAAAAAATTATCTCGTATAAATATAAATATCCTTTTCAAAATTTAGATAAAATAAAAAGTTTACTGTATCACTTTATAAAAAACCTACTAGTAACCAAGAAAAGAATAAAGAAACTAAAGTTTAGACCTCATCTTCAGAAGAAAATGTTTAATGAGTTGCAAATCTTGTTTGATAAAGAAGAGGACCTTGATAAGCTAAACAGAATTATGAACTTAATTTTTGAAAAAGGAATTGATTCTGAGATAGAAGAAAATAATTATGTTTCTTTAGAAGAAGATTTATATCTACAAATGGGATTGATAAAATTAGAGGGGCTACATTTTCTACTTATAGAAGTTGTCAAACAAAAGATTGAAAACAAACTAGGTAAAAGGGTTATGGATAATAATGACGTTGGAGAAGAAATTATTAATGTAAACAATGTTATCCAAAGACCTAGGTATCAAGGAGAAGGAAGTTGCACCCGACCAAGATACATACCAGAGAAGACTACCCGATTTAGTGTTAAGGTTATGCCTAATCATATATTTAAACAAGAAGAAGTGACTCTTGAACCTATAAATTAAACCGGTTACAATCTTAAATTAGATGGTGTAAGAGATAGACAAGATGTTTTAGATCATTGGAAAAAGAGTAAGAGTAATGTACTTAATTTAAACATTGAATGGACTTGTGAAAATTTCTTAAATTACATCAAATATAGTTTCTATGGCTGTGTAGAAGACTAGCATGATGGGATAGATGAACAAGTCAAAACCGCATTAAGAGCTAGTGAAGCACCTACTAGAATGTTTAGGCAGTTATGTCAATACATTGAGTTAGAATTCATTGGTTCTAGAGTTGATCCTAATGAAAAACGAATGGAGTATCAAAGAAAGTTAAGTAATTTGTTCGTATGTAATATGAAATATGTTGATAATTACATTATGCAATTTGAAACATATTATTATAAAATTGGTGAAAACGAAACAAATCTTGGAATGTTCTATGATAATTATCAAGTCCCCTTAATGAAGAAATTATTGAAATATATCAAGAATGGAGAGAGAAATTCTAAGCTAGGGATGCCCTAGGTAATAGAATTGCTTTTCTGAGAAAATGGATTGAAAAGAAATGTAGAGAGGTTGTAGAAACTCAATAAATGAAAAGACAATTTCTCGCTTGTTGGGATTTCCCAATTAAATAACTATGGATGTGAAAGAAAAAACTATAATAAGAGAAGTAATTATAAGAAAAATAAATTTGATGATCAAGAGGAGAAACCTATAAGAAGAAGTATTATTATAAACATAAATATAGAAAACCAAGTAGGTTTTTAGAAAGGCAACATGCTGTCATAAGAAAAAGAAAACATTCAAGTGTTGGTCTTGTGGAGAATTAGGACATTATGCTAATAAACGTAAGACAACTAACCACAAATTAATGAAAACCTTAGGTAGTTGGGACTACATAGAAATACCGGAAGATGGGGCTTTAGAATTGACTTTAAGCAATAATAAAGGAATAGTCGAAATCATAGAAGAGGAAAATGAGTATAATGAAGAACTTGAAGATAGTGATGAGTTTGAAGATGAAAATTATGAAGAAATAAATAATATGATGGAAGAAGAAGTATTAGAAAACTCAGAATCAGATAACGATGAGGATAAAAGTAAAATGACTATAGGTCAACTAAAGAAAGCTGAGTATTCTATTGATGATAAAATCCTAGACCAAATGAACAAAGAAAGTTGGAATTTTCCAGTATACTAATTTAAAGATAAATATTCAAAACTTCTTTCTTTAAAACTAGAACTAAATATGTATGTGAAGAAATGGAAGGAAGTATAGTAATCGAGGATTGTGAAAAGAAAGCAACGGAAATTAATATCATAAACCGGAAAAGCATTAAGAACCTTAAATAAAAAGGAAATTATAGTTATAT